GACCCCAGCCACAGGAGCGGCAGATGTGCTGGAGGCTGAGGTGATGCCGACATCCATCTGCTATAAATTAGGTGGCAATTCCCAAATGGCTTCTCCACAGATCCTGCAGTGAAGCTCCCCTCAGCCATGCTCTGCAGCAGTAATTAACTCTGTAACACCACCAGCCTTTTCCTGCTGTAGAAGCTGGCTTTCTCCCATGTCCCCTCTATCCAGCCTCCCAATTGCTGGAGAAAAGGCAGGTCACATACAACTTCCCCCAAGTATGTACGTATGCACAGCAGCTTTATCTCCCTGAGAAATTCCAGGCAGCTGCCTACAGCCACTGAAAACCCCTCTGCCTGCCTGGAGAGGAGCGAGCATCCCATTTGTGAATCTCAGCAGGCTCAACAGCACCCCGCCAGTGCAGAGGCTGCCGTTATCTGTCTTCATTTAACAGTTATCCAAAGGGCTGGGTTTTAAAGCCAGAATGTCTGCTCCAAAATGAGGCATATGTTAATCCTACGCAGGACAGCAATGGATGAGGCAGGCTAAGAAAAGCAGGCAAAAAGATCATTATCTCGCAGCGCTAATCTGCTTTCTGCAATTATTCTATTGCACTGAATGTGTCGCTGGCTAAAGCCGTGGGTTGCAAATAAATCTGTTTCCACCGTGAGTCACAAACCATTAGAGGATTGTGCTCAAAGTAGTGTCCGGACTGCTCTGCACTCAAATCCGTATCACCCCTGGAAGCCCCTCGGAGCCCTGTGGATTGCAGAGCAGGTGGGGTTGTTCCCCTGGGGCCATTGCATCACGATGCCTGGTGCTGTGTTGCGGGATGCTGGTGCTGGGGCAGCTCTGCTACGTTCCCCAGGTAACGGCAGGGATGTGGGTGAGCCAGCCTGAATCGGTGGGATGGCAGCGGCCCATCGCAGCTGCTTGCCGGGTTACTGTGGAAACAGCAGATGGTCAATGATGGTTAAGGGATTTTTGCAGAAAGGCCATTTTGAATCCCTAAACGCCAGGTTTATTGATGTTATGTAGTTGATCCTAAGGGTTAAAAAAAGGGGTCAGATCGTGGAGCAGCCATCAGCTGGAAGGTCTGCAAACCCCAACGGAATGTGCGCAAACCCCCACCCCCAGCCATTGCGGCCCAAACATCCTTATCGGCTGCTTGCCTGCAACCGCAGCCCAGATGTACCTGCCGGGAAGGAGCTGGGGAAGATTTTCAGGTAACAAACAGACTTGAGGAGATTATAAACCATTTGCATTTAGTTCAGGAGGAAAAGAATCAGTGTTTGTCATATAAATTATTCACTGGATAGTTAATTGGTTTGTTTTGGAGCTTTTCCATCCTGGGCTTCAGTTTCTGTTTAAAACAGCCCATTTGGGATACAAACCAAGGGTTGGTGCCTCTGCTTTGCTTTCTTTAACCGTTTGCCACTCTGAGGGTGGCAAGGTGGGGGCAAATGCTGGCAGGATCCTTCGTAGAGAAGCTGTTCAATTTCAGGAGGAACAAAAGCCTCCAGGCCTCTGCAACTGGCTCCAAGAAGGACTTTTATTCCTTGCAATGTCCAAGGGAGCTGCTGGGAAGAGAGGAACAGTTTTCACCTCGACAGCCACAGAGGCAGCAGGGCAGGTTTGCTTGGAAATGCTGAGAAAGTTCACAGCATGCAGCCGGGGACAGGACGGTGCTTCCCCAGCTGTGCTGTAGTGGTGTCGGGGTTTTGCAGGATCATGTAGTCATTCCCACCTGGCAAAGTCCCCTCTCTGCTGGGGCCGTCACTTCTCCACTCTTCCTCCTGTGCTTTGGACTTGCCAGTGTTTGAGCATTGATTCTGGAGCTCATAGATTCGCTGGGGACAGGGTGGTGGCACATGGTGTCTCCTGTGATCTTTATGCATTAAATGCAGCTTGTCTCGGTGGTCTAGGGGCCTCGCAGGCCCACATCTCCCAGGGGGTTCCCCCTCCAGCTGCCTGGCAGTACTGGGACCAGCATTTGAGAGCGGGTAGTGCTTCTGAGCCAGCTCAGATTTGGGCTTCCAGGCATACATCTCCCCTCTTCCCCAGCACAGGACTGCAAAGTTTGTCTTCTACCTCCCAGTATCCTGGGAAGGGCAGCGTCAGCATCTCCTGCCCGGCATCTGGGCAAGCCCAGCAGCGCTGATGGGGTGCAGAGGGGCTGCTGCTCACCACACTCGCCCAAGCCCCCCAGTGCAGGAGGCATGGCAAGAGCTTCTCAGCTCCGTGGGCACATCGGAGCCAGCTCCTGAGGTCCAGCCAGGTGGCTCCACAGGTCGCACCCCTTGCTATGTGGCTCTGCGATTCCTGCAGAAGCAAAGGTTTTGTTCTTACTGAAACACGTTTTCAAATGGAGTATTTCTCCTTTTTGATTTACACAGCTACGTGCCACTGGGCTTTTTATTATTAACAGTCTTGACATGGGTAAAAAAGCTGCTGAAGCTCTCTGAATGGGAATGGAAGAGGAACACTTCGGGGGTAGCCAGATCACCTGAGCCCGGAGAAGGATCTGCAATTTAACAGAGGAGCTGTCCCAGCCTGCGCCTCGTCCCCGTGCCAGGCTGCGGGGCAGGAGCCCGTGGCGGCTGGCCGCTCGCCAAGCGCAATTCAATCAAAGGCATCAGGGTAATTGACTTCATGTCTCCCAGCAGGACCTGCAGCCAGCCGAC